CCCCGTTGACCTCCCAGTTGAAGTCACTTTTCTCTCTTTACCATAAGTCCCAAGCTCATTCCCTGTACATCTATTTGTTGCAGCATATTGAGAAGAAAATAATATGTGTCATGACTCTAGTCAATTTTGAGACATTTAGTCATTTTGAGTTTTTGGTATCATCTTTAATCGCAGATTCACTCGTCTTGCTTTGAATAAAAAATTATCCATTTATCTGGAATACAAGTTGAGATATTAGCGAAAAAAAGAGGTGGGGGTCACCTGGTATCAGAGGTAAAATTAGTGAGAAAATGGCCTTCAAAGCAAAGATGAGTTATTTTCTTAGCTTGAGAGTCCGTGGAAACTGAAAATTTACATTTTTTTGGTGCTTTTTATCAACGTTTTCCAGTAAAATCCACAGAGAAATGTGTTCTTTGATGGGCATAAAAGGTGTTGAGCCAAAAAAAAAAAAAAGAATTCAATAAAAATCCACAAACCTGCAGAAAAACGTCAGTTTCTTCACTTTGATTATTTTGACGAGCGTCTGATTTCACCGCACTGCCTCACACATATATTACATACGTTGGCATATCCATCGTCAGAAAGACTAGATCTACATGATCTACATAACACCAAGCTACAGCCAAATCTGTAATCAATGGGCCAGTATTTGGGAAAAAAATTGAGATTTGATATTTCAGGAACAGTTAAGTTAGTTGTTGTGTAGACAAACAGATACATATGTTTTTTAAAGTTTTAGTAGAGGTTTTACGGCGCTCGCAACTGCATAAGGTCATATGAGCTCCAGAAGATAAGAGGTGTTACAAGAGAGTAACATAACATAAAAAAGAAGAAGGGGAGTTCAGATAAGGACGATAGTTGTTTGATAGGAAAGAAGAAACATTAAACAACACCAGAGCACCCGCCAACCACCCACAGATAATTCATGACAAATTAGGACAGAAACAACAACAAAAACATCAACAACAACAAGAAATAGAAAAAGTGCTATACTATAAGAGGAATATCAACAACAGCACTGTAAAAGTAAAGTACGCCAGGAACAGCAAGGAAACCAGCAGTAATTAACACCAACACAGGAGAGGTAACATTTCAACAGCAGCAAAAATGGCAAACGCAATAATTTAGCAACAGCAGCAAAGAAAGTTACAGTGGGCCCTTTATTGTATCCAACAATAATGTTGAGTCAACAACAAAAACAACTGCAGCAGAAAATACAATTATAAAGTCCACAAGAAGTAGAACAGCACATCCAAACATTATATTATAATGTATATTTAATGAAAAAAACAAACAAACAAAAAAGTACAAATGTACACATGTACATGAAAAAAAAAGTTGTTAAATGAGGAGAAAAAAAAAATGTTTCCGCTGGGGCTCGAACCCAGGACCTTCCGCGTGTTAGGCGGATGTGATAACCACTACACTACGGAAACAACTGATAGCTTCGGCATCAGTAAGCAACAGTAGGAACATCGGCCACATACATAGATCTGACGGCTTATCCTATGTACTTTGAACTTGGGAGGTTCTGGGGTTCTGGTTCTCTGCTCACGACCTCTGGTTCCGTTCTCGATCTATCGGCATAGGTCAAGGACATCTACTACAAAAGATGTAACATCTTCTACTTCTACTATTAGATCTAGAGACATAACCTCCGATTTTGGCCCCAATACTAACTATCACTATCATTACTAGATCTAGATTCTACATTACCCTCCTCTTATCCTACATCCGGTGATCTTATACTTTAGCACGTTAAATTCTTCAATTGATTTTATTCCCTTTTCCGTAACGAGCGACCACTTTAAAACATGATCTAGATCTAGATCTAGAATCTATCTAATCAAGATTATACTCAATGGCTTACAAAATCTCAATGGAAAACCGAAAACAACAATAATCTATAATATAATGAAATAACGACAGCCTAACAACAATAACAACAACAACAACAATAAATAAGGTATTTTTTTACTTTCCCTCCCGTCTCACACTCAGCTACCAATTGTCTATTTTGTACTAAATATTGATGCGCTGAACACGAATATCAACTTCATTTCCGTCGCAAATTAATAGTTTTTGAAATATTTGATTGTTTTTAACCGAGATAGACATGCTTTGGACCTTGGAGTAATATATTATAGTTCCTCCAAGCTTTGGACCAATCGGGCCCGGTTCCAGGAGGGCCTGCCCCACTGGGGTAAAAGAACATCTGGGGGGTTACAGGGGGGCATGCCCCCCCTGTCTTTACCCATAGTTTGATATTTTACAGTTAGATTTGAAATTGTCTTGAAAATAATTGCTTTGCGACAGTTTTAGTGGCTTTATGTGTGATCTGCAGCAAACAGTACAGCAGTTTGACCCCTGAAACAGTGCATCTGTGTGCGGGAGTGAAAGTAAAAATTTACCATAAATAATAATAATAGATCTAGATTAATATAATAAATTAATAATAATATATAATAGATATATGATGATAATATGATGATGATATAATTGAATCTAATAGGCTGAATAATCATAACAATATTATAATGATAGCCTCATGATATATTTGTGATGATAATTCTAGTAATAATGGTTATTATAACTGTAAAACTCCATTTTGGTTTAACGCCCGTCCACCTGCTCTCAATTGTTGCCAACCTGGACTTGTGCAATCTTTTTATACATGATGTAATGTTGTTTTCTTCTGGTCAAAGGGAAGCAACAGCTACAATAGCATAGTGAGTGGTGGTAGTCATCCACAGTCATTTCCCTTGAATTTCAGCCAAGTTGCTAGCATCTGCGTTTGTCGCGATTTTTTTGGCATTTTTTGGTCAGCGAATCGCGGCCGCGATTTTGGAATTTAAAAACAAACAAACAAACAAACAAACAAACAAACAAACAAACAAAGCTACTTCACAACATATTAGACATGTATTTTGATAAGTTTTAAGATGGCCATGTGTAACTATTTTCATGCGGAGATATAAGTACATTACATACTATTTATATTGCTGTCTGTCTTCCTGTTTGGTGACTATTCATTGCTTTCTCCCCACTAATAACGAAGGCCTACCTGGCCCATATGAGTCTAGCCGGCGAAGAGAGGAATCGTCTAGTGAAGATATATAAGGAGAATTATAACGAGGAGCGATAGGCTCTCGGCTGTCAGTCTGGGCCGAAAACAAAGGGCCGACCCCCTCCCTTCTCTCCCCTTATCCACCGTCACCTCAGCTAGACACCAAGTTCTATAATTAGCATTTGACACACTTCCCCACTTTGTTACAACAGT